AAAGTGTAAGTTAGTATTGTTACTGAAGCAATATGGAACAAAAAAAAAGTCAGAGTTTAGGGACAGGAAAGGTGGGCAGAAAGAATGCTAACAAAACTGAAAACTGGAACTGAAATTTTCATGAGAGAAATTAAAATAAGACTTAAAACAGATGGAGACCATAAAAGGAATTAGGAGACCCCATTCTAAAACAGGAGCTGGACACTTTGCAAATAAAAATTAAATGTAAGTAACATCTGGAAGTTTTCAGAATGAACTAAAAGATGGTACTAAGAAATAAAATCTTTGTTGGAATGGTAGCTCTTGTTATGAATAATTCAGGTAGATCTAGATGCCCAAATACACAACTCGCAGTCTGTAGGACTTGCAAGGACTGGTGAGGTGAAAACATGAGGTGATCAGCAACTGGAAGGTCTTCCAGGAAATGGGTGGGACCTATGTCCAAACTAGAGCTTACTCACAGAGGTGAACTGCAGGAAGTATATCAAAAAGGGTAGACAAAACATCATGTCTAGAAGGAAATCAAAGGTTTACAGTCCAAAGACATGTTCAGCTGTCTTTTAGGTAAGCAGAAGACATGGATCACCAGGCTTGTTATACAAGTTAAAATTTACTGAGGCTCAGAGGAAAATCACATTATTCCAGATAACATAATGTAAATGCCCACTAGAACTGCATCCAGAAATACTTCCCGAGAAAGTTGTGGTAACCATCTCTGTGGTCTGGCTCTCAGTATGCTGTAGAATTTAAGCCATGGAAGAGCATAAATTATCCTGCTCTGCATCATACGATACTGGCCCTATGGAGCTAGCCATCAATTTGACCCAACAACTTTAAAGGAGAAAAGAAAAAGAAGAAACCCCAACAGAAATGGAAGTGGTTATGTGGATGTGCTTTTCAGGCACACACATATGCTGGTGATGACTGCTGAGATGAATTGGCAGCAGACTTTTTTTAAGCACTGAACTGGTGTTGGATTCTTAGATGTTAATCAGGAACATGAGATTAAGGGGGTGTGGAATTCACCACTGAACGTCATTCAAAAGAAAAACCAGCTGCTGCTCAGGAAGATAGGAGGTGGTTGCCATAAAGCTTAGAAATTCAGCTGTGAGTCTAATATGTACGAGTGATCCTAATCTAGCTCATGATATTATGAATGATTAAAAAAGTGATAGCTTTCTTTCATCAGAGAAAGGAAAATAGCAACACTGTAGCAATGAAGGCATGCAGTACAATTAAATACTGACATGCAGGGAAAAAAAACTGGCTAGAAATAGAATTGTTGTGGGCTGGCCAAGGCACGCAATTTCAAATACCTTTTAAGACTCTTTCTCCAATGACAGAAAATAAGAAAATAATTTTAAAGGTCTGAGGAAGTCCCCAATAGACTTGACCCCCAAGAAGCCCCACTGGGAAAATGATAGTGAATGTTGGGCTGTTGAGTGTGGAATAAGTTCTGTGAAATTGATGGGAATTATTAAACTAGACATACTAAAAGGCTAGAGAATAGGGAATCCAATACCCCATCACCTAATCTGGCAAAAATGGAGAAAGTAACTGGGAAAGGTGCATTCATCCAAGAACTGAAAAGCTGGAAATTGAGAAAGAAGTCTTGATAGCCAAGTTAGCACATGAGATAATCATTGGATTTGATTATTCCTAATGACTGCCTAATAAATGCCAGAAACTGTCTTAGACAGTAAGCGTGTGGAAACCCCCCTTCTAAAAGCGGCTCAGGTTTGCAGATGGTAACCAATGTTTTTTTAAATGATATTCTCCTTGTAGAGGTCAAAACTCTAATAGTGTTTTACATTCCCTCCTCAGGCAAGGAAATATGAAAAATGGTTGAAACTTGCTTAAGGGTGACCTTAGCCACTGTTGTTAAAGGAATTATTTGTTGCTTCACTTCAAATTTTTCTGATAAGTAATAAAAGGTATAATGGAAAATCCATTTCAAAATGTGAAAGAACAGATGTAGTAGATACTGATAAGAAAAGGATGGGAGGATGAACTCACAGGATTTCCTCTGAATTTCTTCCAATTAGTATTGAATGTACAAAAATGAATTAGCCCAAAAGATTTCGTAGTCAGAAATGAGTTCTTAGAAGCAAAGGCACAAATTACACGGCATGGCATAAGACTAATAACAAAACTGAACGATACTGGTAAGTACATAAGCCACTAAGGAAGAAGATGGCATAACCAATCTTGAATAACAATAAATCTGCATAAAACATTTTCTATTCATTAGCTATTGTTTTAGATACCAAAGAAAATGTAACTTTATTTTGCAGAGTGGTGATTGGATGCCAGTGGAAATGGAACCAAAAGAACAAGGAGAAAATGTTAGTACCACTATTAGTGTAGTATCACTGACTTTGTGCCAATTGATGTATGGATAGAGTTGTATATTTCCTACTTTCAAAAGATTCATGGCTACTTTAACTCTCTCTTAACCTGTTTCCTGTGATGGTGTCTGGAAAATATATTGAATAGGAATTGAAGTTCTTCCATGTAAGCTGAAGGCACCAGCATGAAACTGAATCAAAGACAATGAATGCCTCATTGTTGCCAGGTGAATCCTGTAACCCAGCAGTGCTGTCACTCACCTTTGCAGAGGATACTCCATGTGCACCCTTTCCAAGTTACCTGCTGTAAGGATCTCAGCTTAGAGTCAGAGAAAATGCGCAATGGCCTCCGACAACTGGAACAGCCAATAATTTGTGAGGGCACTAGCAGTGCCGCAGGTTGGTGGCCTGAGTCCCTGTCCAGCTCAGAAGCTGGCAATCAGTACTTGCTTGTAACTGAATAACTTCAACAGTTTTCCAGATTCTTTTCCAATAAGAACTAAATGCACTGAAATTAAAAGAAGCCCCAGTGACTTATTCTTGCTGTTATTATATTATTATGACATTGTTTATTTCTGTTAGATTTGGGGCCCTAATGAGATACAAGGACAACAACAATGTCTTAGCAAATCTGGAAATCTGTATCTGAACTATGGGCTGAGAGAACACGTATGAAGTTCAACCACTCCAAGCAAGATGAAGTACTATTGTGTCCCCCAAAACACTACCTGGTTTCCATTGGAAGAAACACCAGGTAGATGTGTCAGGAAGGAGGGGGGATGTGATCCTATAGACATTGTGCACCCTCTCTGAACAACGAGGGAATTAAGTCAGTGGTGTCATTGCCTTGAAGCTCAGACACTGTTACATATTTGAGTAATCCACAGAGCATCCATCAGCCTCTATCATTCATCATTTGGTGATATAAGATAATCACAGAATGGGGCCTAAACTAGTTACTTGGATGAAATGGTTCATAGAAGTAGAGACAAGCCTAAATCCCATCTTTTCTCATGACTTATAGGATAGCTATCAGTAAAAGTCCAAACCAGATCCTTTTTATTTGGTAGAAGTAAATGATCTCTTAGAAGACATAGAAGACTATGGCATTCCTAAAGAGAAGAAAAATTAATTCAGACTGCTTGAACTAGACAAAACCAACATAATCTAATCCTGAACAGGCTCACACTGTTGTAAAGGAAAATTTGAGGAAAATGTTTGACTGAGTGAAAGGATATATATGAAAAAAGGCCACATGGGAAAACTTTAAAAAGAAGGGCTGTTTTTATTAAATGGTCTAAGAAAAAGCACAGAAGAGAAAAAATGAGTAAATCTCAATAATTCATATGGTATAAACAGAAATTAAAACAGCCCATATAGAGAGAATGAGTTAGGTTGCATACACAAATTCTAATTTCCTCATAAGTAGAAATGGCAGAATCTTCAAATTTTGGTTCCCCCAAAATAAATTGATATTTTATATTTTATTTGTCTCTGAACCAAAATAGAGTAAAATAGTTTTCAAGTTTCCTGCTAAATTAAAAGTTTACAAATTCTAAAAAGAGTTCCCAATTTTGCAAATCCATTAAAAAATACCTATTTGCCATTTTAATATTATTTTTACTTCACAAATCTTATGAAACAGATTACATTCTCTGGTCATCCATAGTAGCAGACATCTGACCCAAATGGTTAGTTTTTACCCCTATAATTTATATTTTCAAGTAATATAAAAATACTGAAAAGAAAGCATCCATAAAATCCAAAATGACATTTTGGTTCAGCAATCTGATTTATTTCTGAAATGGTAAATTCTGTATCAGAACTTTTTCCCACAGAGATTTTTGCTGAACTGAATTTGCTTTTATTTTTAAACATTTTAAATGCTCTCTTCATTTAGTGCTTTTTGAAAACTGTTGGAAAAGAAGATTTTCCTCTTCCAGGCTGATAACACAGTTCTGAAAACTTCACTGGGAATGTCACTGAAATCCAAGCCAGTTCTCAGGGACTCAGAGAAAGGAGCTCCATCAGAAAGTTTGATCAGGCAGCAAATTAAAAAACTCAGAAGTTATTTAGATTGGAATAAAATTTTTTTGAGCTGGCAAAGCGAAAATAGCCTGCTGAAATGTGGTAAGTTATTTATTTTCTTTTAATCCTATTTGAAATATCAACATTTCCGGTACATTAGCTTGATTGGCAGAGGTGTTGTATGACTTGGGATAAACCCCAGTAAAACTTTTCATTCCTATCTGAGATGCTCCAGGTTCTAAAGGAGTTCCCCTCATCTGAAAACATCCATGCATCAGGAACATTGTCACATGGCTATTACCTCTTAACATCACAGCAAGTCAAAACTTCAGAGGGACAGACAGCAACATTCTTTAGTGCATATGCCTGAGCCTGAACTCATTTTAATCTCTGTAACTGCCCTCAAAGAAACCTTAAGTCAAGGGAAATAATACTCAGCTAACTGAGTAAAAAGAATATTATGATTTTTGAAAGTAACAGACATGACAAAAGGTAGCTCTTAAAAGTCTGCAGGACCACACCACATCACTATAGGCAGAACTATCTGCTTAAGGTAATAGGAAGTATTATTTGAAATCTAACACTTCTATGGACTGTAAAGCTATTCCACATTTTTCACCTTACCATTTTGTATTCTTTCCAGCTTTTTTGAAAATCCAGACTCCCATCTTCTCGGTGCTGTATAACTGTCCATCCTCCTCCAGCAATTTCCATATTGCAGAAGACCTATGCAATAATAACAATTAAAAAAAAAAACCCAAACACAAAACCCACAATGAAACAAACTTGCATTGGAACCTTTTCATTTTAGGGGGAAAAAAATATTTGTGAAAAACGGAACTAAGGAAGCCTGTTTTCCTATGGATTCATGCCCTATGCCCTCAATGGTATCCTCAATCGCTTGATTACAACAGGAACTCTCCTTATGTTCAGTGTAATTCTCCCAGTAATGTCTCCTTTTGTTTCAGCACATTACTCAAGAATATCTCCCCATCATCCCATTCTGCATCCTGAGCTTTCCTCTTCACATTCCCTCCATGCTCCTTTTATTTTCTTTACAGTGCCCCTGTAACCACTCCCTTCCTCTTAACAAACAAGAGTATTTCTTTCAGTGATAATAATGTTTTCTATGGCTTACAGCAGAGTGTCATTCTGTCTAAGAAAGAATCTTCAGGAATTTTTACAGAAAATACCCATTCAAGGAGTCCAAATCATAGCACAGATGAGATTATTCTGTTTTGCTTTGTGTTGTAATGTTACCTACAATGTGCCAGGCAGTGTCCCAAAACAGAAACAGCTGATCTCAGTTTAAGCTGCCTTACAGCTGACAGAGGACATAGATAGAAACAGGCTGAAGAACAGACATCTGTGGGACAAGCTCAGAAGTCAAGACCTATACTGAACATACCCTGCCATCATTGCACTAATAAAATTCTAACTTAGATACTGAGATTCTGTATATTAAGGATAATTTAACAGTTTGACAATTTTGATGAAGCTTGTTAGAATATTGAGTCAACTGAAATCTGTTAACATTCTTAAATAATCTATATAATAATCAAAATGCATATTTAGTTTTCATTCATTTTTCACTGTTCTTACATTATCATTTCAAAAATATAAAAGATAAACGATGAAAAAATGCAAATACTGCTTCTCCATTCACTTTTCTTGGTATGGGGCAAGTGACAGTATTCATTTTTGTTCCTACTTTTGTATGACATTTGATTTTAAGATCTATGTTTCTCAGTGCTACTCATTCCAGCAAATTTTCCTGATTTTCATTCCCATATACTCATCCATGCCATATTGGTAGTGCAACTATCTTAAATTTCATTTACCTGAACTCTTGAATAGTTATATCCCTCTTTTTAAGTAGAATGTCAATATATAAGAGGGTTGAAGAGGTGTCACCCATCAGCTTAGCTTTTGGCATTCACATCAAGAAAAGTCAATCCATTCAGCACTGGTCAGTAATTTAAAGATTTAAGTTTCTTTGCCAAATTGAAGGTTACTATCCAATTCAGTTAAATAAAAATTTGTCCCTCATTTGACAAGAGAACTGTATTCTACCCTCAGGCAAAGCAATTCCAAATCTTTCCTACTTATAATAAGCATTGCCACAGTAATCCCATGCAAGTTCTTTTGTTTTAATTTGCTCCAGGCATGCCAAGTGAAGTCCCTGTGTAGGTATAGGAAGGAAACAGAACACCGAACAGTGCAAACATGTGAATTTGATTTAGGGTAACCACAAGAAAACCCACAATTTGCAAGACAAACATTTTGTCCCTATTCCTCCTTCAGGGAAGACACTGTGAGTCAAAACATTTATCTACAGAATTTAATTTCTTCAGTCTGATTTACAGTGAGAATTTCTAAATTAGGGATTTACTTTCCTTATAAGTCTTTTCAAGCTCTCATGAATCCACTGCCAATTTTTAAAACTTTAAATCCGCAACTGTATTAAGACTTTATTAAGACTACTCATTTTTAAGATGTGCACAAATTATGGGGTTTTCATACTAAAATATAATAAAATACCTGTAAAAAGATGCTGATGTTTTCTGAATAATATAACAAATTAAAAGAGAAAACTGCACAGTGAAAGAAAGATTTACCAGCAGCATATTATTCACTAGCCATCATTGTGTGGTCTGGCGGTAGTAGACGCAAACACCTGCCTTATTAACAGGAGTGCCAAGCTGATTATAGATGTTCACTGTGCATAGCTCTAGCCAACAAATGTCCTAGACTGGCTTCTGTCCCAGACAAGCTCAAGGCACTCAGCCATTAAACACCTTTTAACATGTTCTGATAATTAACCTTCTACCAGAAAAGAAAAGGGTGAAGAAAAGTGACTTTGAATTTGCATGCGTCTCTAGATTCTGAGTTTATTGTCAATAAAATAACCTGATTTAGATTAAAAGAGCATCCAAAACATTGCACTCTTACTCTTCCTTAAATGCATGGGTAAAAATACTCAAGCTCCTAAAAGGCATATATGAGATTATTTATACATATTTTAGCTTTACGGACTAAATTATTATAAACTTCATAATAACCATTTAGAGATAAGCCCAATTTTAAAGTAAACAAAAGGAGGGGGAATACCACATGGGGCATTTTAAGTGCATGTGCTCTAGGACATCTCAAGTCTACATTATTGCCATGGAGCAACAAGCTCAAGACCAGCCATTTGAGATTCAGGGAATGTGTCTCTGCTATGCAGAAACCAAGCCTGAAGGTAACCATGTCAGGATGACAGTTTCCACTGTATATGGGGCTAGCATACATTTAATGGGTTACAATTCTGGCATATATGCTCAGAGAGACCATCGACAACAATTTGGTAGGAAATCCACAGGCAGAAAGTAGAGGGGAAGGATTGAAAGCTGCATTCATGGCAACAGTTTTGCAGAGCCATGAAGACCCAGATATATAGACCCCCCTAACAATTAAAAACATGACATTTTCAGTGCAGCGCACCCAGAAGTTGGTAGAAGTCATGCTTGTAAGGGCATTCGAGGAGACAGTGAGAGAGTCAAATACATTAATCCAAGGGGACATATGGAGGTTCTGTGTGCACTCAGACCAGTCCCCCTGGCCTACTTCAGCTTCTGAAGGTTGTCATGGTTCCTTCAGCTCCAAAATGGTGACAAATGCACTCCCACTGCTCCTCTGCTCATCAGCAGCCTCTGCTTCCCCTGTAGCTGACCCCACCTCTGCAGGGCACTGAGAGGACTCTTCTTGCCTTTGCTCTCACTATGGCCTGGGAACAATCATTTGTCAACACCATCAGGCATTGCACAGACCCCCACATCAAAGTAAACCAATTAATTAGCTTAATAATTTAAGCCTATCTTTTTCTTTTCACATCTCAAAAATATGGAATATTATTAATATCCTTTCAAACAGAAATGAATCATTAATTTTTGATGCAGGGCTGGAAAACTAACGAACTAAACTAATGAACTGTTGCAGCTAGGAACATGAAAGAAAAATTGCGATCTAAATTTGTAAGCAAATAAAAATGAAGCATATAAATGGTATGGAACTGTAAGCACAGAGTATAATTTTCTATGAATATATGAAGGTAAAACCAGCAAAAAAATAGAACTGACAGTAATATTTGTATATATGACGAAGGGATATTTTCTATTGAATGTTAGGATTCTAGTAAGTACCCCTTAGGAAATATAAAATGAAATGAAGGTATATTTTTGTGACCTGAAGTATAAAATTACTATAAATGAGACAGTTGCCAGTGACTGTGAGTATTACAGAAGGTAATAATATATTAGGCCTCTTAAGAGATGTCAGAGTTGTGCATTGCATTGTGGTAACCCAGATAACTAAACTGGCTTTAAACAAGCGGGTATGTCTCCATGCAGTACCTATCAGGATATTAGCTTGGGTCCCAGAGCAATCTAACAGTGTCAGTGTGGTGCTACCTCTGGGCTAATTAGTCCTGGCACAGTGCTGTGTTGATGTGATTTTGAAGCTATCTCAGCCGGAGTTAATTCAGCTATCTCTGCACAGCACTACCTTGCAGACTGTTAATAGGACCTTAATGTCTGAAAAAGAATCTGTTAAAGCAATCACACTCCTCACTTGACTAACATGAACATGCCTGGGATCAGCTTTTGCTGTGTTATCGCTAGGGCAAGACAGAAACAGGTGGCAGCAAAAACACCCTCAACTCCTCCCCCCCCCCCCCCCCGCCCTTTTTTGCTAAAACAGGAAGCCTCCAGGAAAAAATAATGCAATTATATCAGCTGAGCTGTGGAGCCTGTTTTGATTCATAGTAGCTTCTGCAAACAGGGATATAGCGGAAACACAGGATGGCTTCCATAGTGTCACTGTCCTTATATGACCAGTGAAGAGGGTTTAAGGTAAATATACCGGAACCATCAGTGCCACAGTGCTTTCAGATAACCATTGTTCTTCATTGCAACCCAGCTTCTGGGGATGGTTTCTGAACTTTAATAAGGCTAGGAAAAGCCACTGCCAATTTGTACATTCAGTTTGGACTCTGATGTTACATCTCTGTTTTGACCGGAACAGCTTCTACAGAACTGCGTTTATTGTTCTCATCCTGTTCATTAATGCTTAAAGAGATCTCTGTGTTTTATGTCGTGTCAAATATTTTTTAATTCACATTCACCAGAGTTATGTTGATCTTTGCCCATAGCACTCTCCCACCCCAATTCTACTCATGGTTTAATGAACTCTAATTCCTTAGTAAACTATATCGTCTTGACATTTACAGGCTTCCAAAGGCCTCTAATAAAATCAAATTCAGTTTAGAAATAAGTTTTACATATCTCATTTTGTAAATCTTTATCTTTAAAAACTGCTCATTCTGCTATTCCTTTCCCTGTGCTACCAGATAATCTGCCCCATCAGCTTCCTCATTACAGCACTTTACTAATTCTCTTCTACATTTATCGCAGATTTATTTGCAGCCATAGTCTGATTCAACTGAATTTGCCAAGCGGGAGGAAGTGAGTCAACTATTGAGTGTATATTGGAACTTACGAAGGGTTCTCTGTCAGCGAGAAAGAAGAATGTCCGGAATAATACAGTTTATAATTTTCTTCACTCTATAGTATTTTTTTCAAGACTGAATATAGCCCAGGTTATTTATACCAGTACAACATTTTGCAGAATGAGAACTTCAATAAAGGCTCCAAATGCTCCTTTAAGGCCAGAGCAACATCACATTGACAAACAAGAAAATAAAACAAGTATTTACTTTACCTTTTTAGGATCTGACACATTGTTAATATAAATAGTGTAGACCCCGCTTTTGTTAAAACCCGCTTGGTATACATCTGCACAGTCTCTGAAAGGTTTTTCTTCTTCCTTTTTTGCATTCTTTAGTAAAACTGCAAAACAAAAAACCATGATAATATAAGTTACAACAGCAATCTTAACCATTCCTGTATCAAGGAAGACCACTTCTGCACAATGTATTCCTTTTAAACATACACAGCAATAACTGTACTATGGTCCTTACACAGTTGGTGCATTTAGTAAATTCTGTTAAAGAACTAGTATGAAACTTTCAGACAGATGGCAGGGTAGGCACCAGCAGAAGTCATGATGCAAGTAGATAAACAGAGCATTCTGCCTACTGTGAGGTGAACACAGCGCATTCTTTCTGAGTGCAAAGGTCTGTGCAGCTGCAGGTGTTGCCTCTGACTCAAACTGCATCTGGAAAGTTGCCAAAGAATGCCCCAGAGGTGGCACGTGGAGGTGGAAAATTTGTTCAGTGTTGTGATCTGACACTGATGCTCACCTAAGACAGCAATGCAGAACCCTGGAAGGAGAGAGCTTGTGCCCTTCCTCCATGAGGTACTGCCTTTTGAGCAGCCTAGGGGCTTGGGGCAAGGGAGCTGTTTGCTTAAATTTATTTTTTTTGGCTGAGAATTATTTAATGATTTTCATATCTAGATATATAAAAGTTGCTAGATACAATTAGTGGAAAGAAGAAGAAAAATCAGAGCTACTGAAGTCAGTTGTTTAGAGTCATGATTTATTCAATTTATTTTTGGCTCAAAACAGGAAAACAATTTATGTTAGCACACCAGTGCAGATCTTGATCCTGTATATTGCAGACAGACCACATATATGAGTCTGGACTGAGAAATCAGGAGGGCAAGATGTTTGAGGATCCCCATCTTGAACAACCAAGAGATTCCCTGTAGAAGGAGTAACATCTGAGAGTGTTCCTTCACTTTCACAAACAAAAGTAGTGTGACCCCACACGATACTGAAGGATATGATTTCATTCCAACAACACATACTTTAAGCACATCAGTATTCCCCTGGAAATCCATCAGCCTACTCAGATTCTTAAAGTTAAACATGTCCTTAAGTGCTGTGCAGGGCCTGGGCCAGCACTTCATTAATCCCTACAATAAGGAAACAATATTTAAGTCCTCCAGACACACTCATCGTCTGGTGACAGACACATCTTTTTCATTTTTGGCTTGAAAGTGTGCATTATAGGTACAAAAGGAACTACGCCTTATTCACTCTCAATGAAGTGGCCTGTGCTGCAAAACTGGTGCTTAACGACAATGGTGTGTAAAAAAGCAACAGCCTTGCACAGCGTGTGGGACTATCCAGGCCATAACATGGTATGCAACAATGCCAAAGCTTTGTAGCTTGGTATACTATCTCCCTTTTGAATACCTCAAAGCAGAACTTTAGGATGGCAAATTCCTGCCAGTTCAATTGGCATTATTACCATTTCATAGGTGGGGAAACTGAGGAAGAGAAAGGTTAAATGTTTTACCTCAGTGACTTTGTGAAAAGGTGAAAATAGAAAAATAGTGAGAAATCCAATCCTGAACTGCAAGACTATCCTGCTCTCTCGGTAGGCATTTTACACACACGTCATATTCTTTTTTCCCTTTTACGTGTTTTATTTTGTTCTTTTTAAATTTGATTTTGACAAACCAAAACCCCTTACTTCTCCCTTTCCATGTATTTGCTGCATATTTATTATTTTTATCCAATACCATCAATAAAAGTTAAACTTGGTTCATATACTTGCATATGAACTTCAATTAGAAAATCAATGGCTTTGACACTTGACCATATTTGGAAAAGGTAGTGCTGGCAATGCAGTAGATGACACACTTTCCCATGAGATGGCAGGGAATGAGGTCCTCAGCAAGGTACACATCAACAGTGCACTCTCAAAGGTGCCATTTTTTAGATAAGACATAGAACTGAGGCCTTCACAGTTTGTGTTAATTAAAGATTTCACAGTACTTTCCTATAAGCAGATGGTGTTAGCATCAGTGGCCGAAGTCCAACTTGAATAATTACTTGGGGCTGGAGCCAAAGCCTAGAGGAATTAAAGCAAAGCCTCTCATTGATTTCAGAGGGCTTTAGATTTGATTCATTCTTCCTGGCCTGAATTTCTCTAATGCTGTTGTTTCAACTGCAGACATCAGTCTCTCCTGTCTAAAAAATGTATTTAGTTGTGCAGAGGCAGAGTCTTCATTTCCTTGAGTCTTCAAGTACTTATATTTTAATATCTTTATGTAGAGAGATTATCTCACCTCTATTCAGCCATTATACACAGATTGAAAACCACTTGGAAATAACTGCTTAAGAGTCAATCAAGGAAATTTGAATTTGGTTTCTTTTAACTGAAAGTTAGACCAAAAAAACCCCATGAGTATATCCTAAAGTTCATATTATTTAAATTTTAAACAAGGTAAGATTTTAATTTCAGAGTAACTAGAATTAGATTTGAAAATAATTTTCTAAGGAGATGGATTTCTAAGAAGCATACTTAGAAATAAATTTTTTCCTCATGCTTAAAGACTAAGAAAAACCACATTAAAACTGCTGTTGATGTAAGAGATGAAGGTGACAAAGACAGATAGATGCCATAGATATGCCCAGTTCCTTCCGCCCTTCCTCTCAGTATCAGACAGCTGAAACACCTGAGATCACAGACAGCAGATGTGTTAATTTCCTGTAGACTAAGCAACCCAATACCCTTCTTTTGCAGCAGTGGGTTTTATTCAGTGAACCACTGTAGCCAGGAGAAGATGGCTTTCCTTGGGTTCCTTTCATCCCTCTCTCAGGAGGTAGTGCTCCCACTGGAAGAAAAGCTCATCTCCTTGTGAAGGAGCTGAACTATTACAGATTGCAGCACAGTATATTAAGCATGACCAGCACAAAGTTAGTTTTTCTTAATACATCAGACTGTAATTTGCAAGAACAGCCCAAAGTTATCAGAAAATTAATACTCAGGAATGTTACTGGTAATGTTCTTTTAGGGTAAAATATGTTTTTTCTAAGGTTTGCTGTTGTTTTTCTAACTTAATATTCCATACAATTTCCAAACCACTTCTACCTACTATAGCTCCAGACTGTTTTTTGTACAATATTACATAGACCTTGAATCCTTATATATTAAGTCAAGTTCCTGAATGATGCATTGGCTCACATATGGTAGATGTGTAAATAAATTTTAGAAAAAGTAACAAGGCTCAAAGAAAGTAGTTCTAAAACAAAATACATAGCCATTACATTTCTTTGTTCAGCTTCAAGATCTTAATTGACTTTACACAGATTTCTAATGTTAGTTTAGCTATTTTCAAATACAATGCTTACGCCAATGTTTTATGTACCTGAAGAAGATAAGTCTACGTCAAGCAAAATAATTTTACCATTTTTAAACCTGAATGCTTAGCCAAAAATTGGACCCCTGGAGGGTCCAAACTGGTGATGAAGTCATGCTCCTTTGAAGCAACGATGCCTATGTAGAAAATCCTGCTTTCCTGAACGGAAGAATAATTAGCAAAAGAAATAACTTCTTTCACTGCACTTTCCAAAAGTCTCTTGGTTAATTTTTAGCTCAGTAACTTTCTCCTTGGGCTACGCTACCTGTGTTTCCCTACTTGATGAATTATTTCTGTCAGTTATCAGTCTTTCAACTGTTTCTTTCCCTCAATGCCCTAAATGATGATTTGAGTCCAGGCAATACAGCTGGTACCATCCATAACTGCCCAGAGCTCTGTCAGATGGCTGCTCCCATGTAGAGGCAACAGCCCTGGCAGTGCAACTGCTCTGCAGCCCCATGGAGGAACAGGAACCCAAATCACCGAGGTTTCAGCTAACCTGTAGGATGCGAACTGCCACAGCTAAGCAGCTGTTCTGCTGCCTCTACTAACAGGGTATTCGCCTTCAGTAGAAATCTGGGTCAGCACCTGAGGTTGTAGCCTTTTCAGTTTTCTTAGAAGGGGTTACTGGCACTCGCAAGTGAGAGAGCTCAGATATATAGGGCCTTTTCGCAAAACAATAGTCAGGGAAATCCCTTAACTGATTGTTAGTTGTGTGTGCTTCTGTGTAGGGTGAGACTATTCTTATGCTATCAGTTATGAAAACAAGTCAATAGTAAATGAGTTTACTAGTTCCTAACAGCTATCACAAATGAAGGATGACTGCTTTTCTGCCCGGGTGTAAAGAAATACAAACTGACTACTAGGAATAAATAGCTTCTGAAATATTTAGTAATCTAAAGTTCTCCTCTAGGAATACAAAATTTAAAATATACAATATCTATCTTTTTTTCCTAGCTGTATGAAAATTATCTAATGCCATCTCTACTAGAAAAAAAAATGTTAAAAATATACTTGATTTTTTAAATTGAGATTTCTGATTGTTTTTGAGAAAATGAAGCAGTTCTCTCATTGCTTTTCAAGTCTCTGTCAGATATTTGGTGAACAAAAAGTGCAGTTTGTCTGTAAGCAATAAAGAATGTGAAACTGCAGTTCATTATGTTGACTGAATCAATAAAATCACATTCATATCTACTAAATTATTTAAGATCTGAACTGCCATGTTTGTGAAATCAGTTGAGACTGAGTTAATCACTACAATCTTATGTCCTTTAATGATACTGCCAGCAAATGAAAGGCAGCTGTTGGTTATTTTGCATGATAGTGACTTATTCGGACAGATATGCAGACATTTCTGTAGTGTCTTAGTGAACTATTATATTTTCATTGTTTTAATGTTTTATTTACATGAATCTAATTTTCTTATAGGACTTAATAATCACTATATATACCAGAAGACATTTTAAAAAATTCTTCATGCTTTTGAAGCCAGAAAGGAAAAGTGTCTCTCCATATCTTATTGGGAAATATAATTGACGTAAATTTTAGCTGCTCTGTCAAAAGCATCTGAGGTGAAAATTTCTGTCTGCAGATGAGCAGCTTCTAAAAAATCAAAAAGGACAATGTTGTAAATTGATGGGTTTTACCTACAGCTGTAGCATTCCAGGACAGGTTCATTCAAGGACTACCAAATGGCAGGTTTTGTCTAGATCCAGACTGCAAATAAATTTCCCCTT